ATGAACAAACGGGTACTTGAAAGAGACATCATGGCTATGACCATGTAAATGATGATAAGATGAAAGGTTAGTCTTACAAGATGAAAGGTTAGTCTTACAAGAAGTTTTCCCACTCTGCTAATGGTTCTTTTTTCCATCTTATGAACAGACTTCTTATTATGTATAGGTAGGATGCACATGATTCTGACTGATCAATCGTTCTTGCAGGCATAAAGAAGCATAAAAAAGAGAAGCATGCGCTTGATGAACAAACGGGTACTTGAAAGAGACATCATGGCTATGACCATGTAAATGATGATAAAGACATACCAATTATTGAGGTCAAACTAGCAGATGGTAATGGTGTAATTGAGTATATTTGCTTTATGTATTTATTCTCGCATATCTGTTTTCTACTTCATAGACAAATCCACAACAGAAAGGAGAGTTTTGGGAAAACACTGCTTCAATTGAATATTCAAATATATATTTTTGTTCATGTACAGAGTTCTCTTTTGTTGTTGATTGGAAACTGTGAGACTTTGAGATGCTAGCAATGTCTAAAAAGCATCCATGGTTTGCTGGCAGTCAGTGTGTCAGATAGTGCATATGTGATATGCAGCCACATTCGGAAAAGTGTACATGTGGTTTGTATTCTTTAAAAAAAATAGGGTTTAATATGATGAATGTAGTATTACCATTAAGGCATTACTGCTTGCTTGGTTTAAATAATTTGTACACGTTATAGCACTGAACTTCTGAACTTCTTACAACTGTGGTAGCAATTCTTGACCCAATCCATCAGTTGAACATGAACCTGACAAAGAATTTATGTGTCAATTTGGATCATCTAAGCAGGCCAAATCCTGTTAATTGTGTCATCGTTGACTTGACTTGACTTAACCAGTCCTTTTTATTAAGTAGGTCAAATCAGGTTTCACGTGTATTAGGTTTGGGAATAAATTTTTGACACAACTAATAAATGGTTCATATTTGGTTTGAGATTATTATCCTACTATGTACTTAACATGTTCCTTTTTGTGTTTTTAAGCAAGTTATTTAAGTTCATAAAGTTATGTTTTATTTTCAAAATCCTATTATGTTTATCTATTTGACATGAGGCTTTGTTTTTCTATTTTGATAGTTTCAGCCTGTACTATGAATTGTGAATTGTTTCATCCATTAATTTTCCAAAATTATTAAGTGCAAATAGTCTCAATTGGATCTTACCAATATAGAACATGTTTTTTGAATTCAACATTTGCATCGACCAAATCCACGCCAACATTATAGCACAAGGAGGCTGCTCTGGATATGGGTTCTTCTTTTGGGATCCGAGTGATCTAGGAAGAATCAGCTGGTTTATCATCAGAAAAGAGGAAGAACAAATTTTAGTTACTTTTCCCATCAGTTTGACCTACTTTTCTAAATTGTTAGAGTTTCACATACAATGATGAATTTTAAAAAATGGGTAATTTTACTTTTCCCTTCAATTGCTAAATTTGTAGTTCCATGTACAATGACATCTTACAATTTGGGTAATTTTAATGTGTGCATCACATATGCATGATCTAACTATCAAAAAGTGGCTTTCTATAGAGTTGTGACATGGCTAGCAAGTCACACTTTATTGTTATCAAGTAGTCTAGTATATTTCCTTTTTAGACGTGCATAAATTTGTATGATTATTTCATTTCTGAATTATCAGAACTGCTCTTTCTGCAGAGCCAGGAGAGGATCCCTTCAGCAAAAGGAAGGCTGAAAAGAATAAACGAATTGAAAAGCAAGAGAAGAACCGGCCAGAGAACTTAAAGCAAGCTGCAAAAGTTGGTGCCCTACCAAGGTTGTCTTTGTTTCCGAAACTGCCTTGTGATATTGAATTAAGATGGAATTTAACAACAAAAGGTTCGTGGCAATTCATATGTCATTTGCTGTATAGATAACCCGGACTTTGCTTCTTGTACAATTTTTTGCAATGCTAGCTCTGGCAGGCATGCAATTCTTTGCAACTACTAGCAAATGGGCTTATAGTCAACCATTGAGTAGTTACTTTTTTGTTAATCAGATTCATAGACATTAGCAAGTCTTGAATGTTCTTATGCTTACTTAGTATAATGTGTTATAGACTAAGTCAAACAACTTATTTTCTTTTCTACTGTCTGCCTTCTCCCCACCAAGTATTCAATAATTTATGCCCATACAACTTCACATGGCAGTCATGTACAACTTGCTGCAACAGCATTGCCGATCACAGGAAGCCAGGCACCGAAGAAAGCCAGTAAAAAGGAGCTCGAGGATATAGCTGGGATGGCGACAACAGCAACAGCAAGTGGTGGGAAATTTGACAAAAAAGTTGCCAGGGGAGAAATCTCTCGACACTGGGAAGTATCGGAAGGTTGGTTCTTGCTTCGTTATTCCTTTTTAGCATGGTATCATATACAAGGCTTATATTGATTGCTTCTTTTCTATAGTTTCTGCTCCTTGTGGAAGGAAAGGGGATGAGCTCACAAGAGAAGCAACAAACAGCAAAAATTCTCCACCAGCTGATGTCCAAAAGCTCTCATGACATACTTGATGTCAACAAGGCAAGATTTATTGTTAGAAATATATTCAGTTTATTTTCTTCTGGAAAGTAATTTCTTCTGTTTCTAATAAAGTTAAGAAGAAAAGCGTTAAATTTTGAGATAATTATGGAACAGGCAGTTACAATGTTCAATCTGAAGGTGGAAAAGCAACGGAAGAACAAAAAGGAACAAGACACATCTACAGCAAGGAAGCTGAAGCCAAAAAAGGAAACCCCTTAAAAAATCTTCAAAAAAGAAACACTAGATGACAGCATTTAGGGGTTTGTAATGATAAAGGCTATTTAATCTTCCATGTTTCAGCAGTGTGCAATATTTTGAGCATTTTCTTGTCCTTGTTTCGTCGTGTGTCATGGATAAACTTATTCTTGAGTCAAAAGTATGCTCTTTTTTGGTAATCAATTTATAATTGCATGTAAAATTATTTAATCTTAGTGCAAATGTGTTGAAACTTGCTTATAATTGTTTTTCCTATTAATTTGTTGTCACATGGTGAGTCCATGGAGTCACTGCTAAAGTTTGAGACAAGGAGCCATTGAAATCTGTTCAATATAAAAGGGATAGAAGACCCAGCAAAACAGAGTGGCAAAGGTTATGTTCTGATGCTTGTTTTGTGAGTAGGAAATGTATTGGACCCAGATAATGGTATAGAGAATCTTGACCTCACCTCAAGTGCTTTGATATATTACAGCAATTTTTCAGCAGTAAGTTTTAGGCAAATCATCTCTCTCCAACCTGGGAGACAATCTTTCTTCTCTGAGAAAAATTGCATCTGTGGTTGCAAACTATATAACCTCAGATTTTTTTTACTTTAGGTAGGGTAGGACGCTACTGTGCCCAATCCATCAATTGTTTCAAGGCTAATTACAGTTTACCCCCTATAATTAACTGCCTTTAGCGTTTCGATTCTTATATTTTAAAAAATTACATTAACATCCCTATCCCTATAATTACGAAAAGGAAACATTTAAATTCATTTTATCGATGAAAATGAAACATCAGTTTTATCGATGAAAATATGAAAATAAAAGGTAAAAAGGTAATTTTAACGTTTAGTGACGGATGATAGCATCATTGGCATCGACGCCAACGCAATTGCCTAGTCGTCGGTGTCGACGATAAGGTTCAATCTCATCACGACGCCACTCACCTCTATAAGGAGTGCACCATCAACCTTATCGTCGCCCACCCCGTGTCGCACTGTAGTGACATAGATGGTGGTGGCCACCACGACGTTTACGATGAAGATGGTGGCCATCTCGCCGCTGACCCATCAGGCGGACCCCAACCTCGACCCCTCCTCCTTTACATATGTGTCGACATCGACGTAGGTGCCGAGTGATTGCTACATTCGACGACGTGCTTGAAGATAGCGAAGGACGTGGCCTTTGACCTCCTCTACCTCCACCAGAGCAACCCGTCAATCGTGCACGTGAACATCAAGCCCACCAATGTCTTGCTTGGCCCAGACTTTGAGTCCTACCTCATTGACTATGCTCTCATCCTGCCCCTCCTCCTCTCCCGACCTCACCCCATGACCTCACTGCCCCCTCCTCCACCGCATCCTCCTCCCTTCTCTATTGTGCACCCAAGTCCTCCTTCACCCTCTTCTAGGACCTGGTGGAGGAGCACAACATTGACATCCCCTGATGGGTCCGCTCCATGCGAGAGCAAAACGAATTCGACGAGGATCGCGAGTTACCCGGAAACGAGGCATCCGAGGAGAAGCTAATGGCATTGCTGAACATCATAGTGGCATGCATAGTAGTCCAGGCAAAGAAGTGACTGTTAATGTGGGAGGTGCTATAGATGATCAAGGAAGCGCAAGCGGAGGTGATGGTCTCGTCCAACAACAACGACCACTCGTCGAATAGTTGGTTGAACACAATACAGAGCTTGCCAAGGGAGCATGGATCAAAGAGTGACGATCGCTCAATATTTGCGACGACGATGATGCAAATGCAAAGGAGGGGTCCACCACTACCGATGCCAACGATGCCACTATCATCTGCTACCGAACATTAAAATTATATTTTTTATCATTTATTTTAATATTTTCGTTGATAAAATTAATGTCGTTAGGATAAATGAGCCTCAATATTTCGCTTTTGTAATTATAGGGATATCAATCTAACTTTTTAAAACATTAAAGGCAACTAAGACAATATGTAATTAACCTATTATTTCACCTAATTTGGTAAGATGATGGTTGATGCTTCCTCTAAAAATCAAAATGTATAAATCTGTTATATGCTTTCCCAAAAGATGTGAGCCTCATTTGACACACTAAGATCTAAATAATGAGAATAACAACTCAATTTAACAAATTAAGTTCAAGAATTGGAGATTTGCCTATCTTTGTGTTGGAGCAGTGGTATCTTTTACACATGAAGGCATGTCATTCTTTTTCCTACTTGTACTCACAAAGATGCATCACTATTTTAGGGCAATCACTAACCACATCATCCAGATTCAGATAAAAAGGAGTACACAAGCAGTTACTTGAATCAAAGTCCACAACATTTCCAATCATAATCGTCTTTCTTCTTTTTTTGGATCCCTTCATCAGGGTTGCTGCGAAATTATAGTAGGCTTACCAGTGTGAGTTCTTGCGTTTGGATCGATACTCTACTTGCCTTCTCCATTGGCATTAATACCAGATCCTCTCCTACTAACAGTAGTATTTTTCAAGATCTGCAGGAGAAATAGAAGTTGTCAGAGAGCATTTTATTCCCTCAACTGTGAGATTAACTATAATGATTCAGTGTGTTCACACAAAACCAACATAGATCATAGCTACCAAAACCATGAACGTTTACAAACAACATAAGGTGGAGTGGCACATATCAGCTAAGGATCTAATGGAAGAGAACACAGTGTTTCTGCACAGATAAGTCATGTTTCTTCGCAAAGCAATTTAGTATGGCTAGAAAAGTTATTCTCATGTCATACATGATGTAATCTGGATTACGCATGCCAAATCAGGAAGTTGCTCGAATCATAAGGAAATGTGCGTGTTGGATAATCAAATAGTCTGACGAACACCAGTTTTATCAACTTTCTTACTTATAACCGTCTTTTGTTGCCAAACAACATGCAGAAGCGTACATCTTGATTGAACCGAGGTAGATACAAGTACAACAAACAAGTGAAAATCGCAATGCTACGAAGAACATCAACGATTATTTATACATGAAGAATTAGAAAACAAGGAATCATAAATAAAATGGTTACGGTATGACAGGAAAAAGTTGTGGCAATTTCAAGTAGTTTAGTTGGTTCTTAAAGAAACATCATCTTGTGTACTCAAACTAGCTGTGGAACCACAGACCTAAGAGATGTTCGTTCCCCACTAACTTTTTTTTAAAGAGCATGGATAATATCTCATTGCCAATTGGTTAATTCCTTTCTTATACAGACTTCTCACATTTTTATCCCACAACTCTTATGGTTGATACTTTCTGTTCACTTTTAGTGACTAAATGAGATTGCAATGAGATAACAGGGTATGATCACCCCATATAAGATTTCCTCCTTGAAGTTCAATATCTACTTTTGGTTTTAGCATACAACCATTAGCTTCAAAAACAAGATTTCATGGCAATCACGAACCATAAGCTTAAGAGAAACAAACAACACTAGATTCAGGAAGTCATTTCAACGTAATCGATACATACTAACGAAAATAACAAAGAAGTTACTACACCTAGACGATAGAAAGCATTATAAAGAAGATACATAAGCACTACGAACTCCGAGCAATATATAGCTACATGCATTACGTCTAAAAGATTCCCCCATTATCAGATTGAAATAGATATACAACTCTAGTAAGTCGAAAAGGACCTTTCAGGATGGTGACCTCCGATGAAGTCCCAGGATTTTAATTTCCACTTTCAAAATTATATATTAAAATAGCATCATCTAAATTCCACCCTCTATCCAAAGTCCAAAACCAATTCAGTATAAGTTTATAGGGATATGAGAAATCTCACCTCCTAAATCCCACCCTCTGAATCCAAGATCTAATTTCCGATGGCATCATCGGAGTGTCGAATCCCATCAAAAATCAAAATGTGATCCGTGCTCGGAATATTCCATTACAGAATTTGGACCAACACTTTCGAGGATTCCTAGGAATTCATATCCTCATGTTAAATGAGGAATCAAGTGTCGACATGAGTACTGACGATGACAGGGAAATATCATGAAGGTCAAGAAGGCATACTTGTCTCAGCATGTTGTTCTCATTCTGCAACGTGGACATCCTCTCCTCCAGTTGCGAGTTCCTGGCCTCCAAATCCTTCACCTTGGCCTCCAAATCATTCAGGTAAGCCTTCTTTCTCTCCCGTGCTTGCTGAGCTGACACTCGATTCCTCAGCAACCTTTCGTGGAAAGGGACGCACCAAAAGCAGACGAACGGCTCACTACGTACACAGATCATTCCCAAAAGTATCCAACTGGGGGGCAGAAGAGGAAAGATGTTCCGAACCTCTTCACCCGTTTGTGCTCCTTGTCGGCGACGCTCCTCCCTCTCCGCCGCTGGCCGGGCTGGCCCTGGTCCGGACCGTCCGCCGAAGCGGCCTCCCGGCCGGAGGTCGATGGGCCGGCCGGCTGGAACCCGAAATCTGGCACTCTCCTGATCTCGTCGTCGCTTTCCATACCTATATCACAGCAAAAAGAAAATCGAAATTTCACCAACACACTCCAACAAAGAGGTCAAAAAAATCCAAAATACATCGAAGCTGGGATTAAAATGCCGATAAAAATCCCCCATTCTCCGTAAAAATGTAATCTTGGAGAAGCCAGCGGGACCAGTTACGCATTGGCCAAATCAAACTCAAAAGGATCGCATTTTGGACGGAGAAATCACAGATTCTTCGACGAAAATACTATTCTTAAGCAAAATCACGAGAATTAATCAATTCCTACCGGAAAAAGGCCCGCAGGAAAAGAAAAGAAAGTAAAAGATTTACCTTCTTTGACTTCCATCAGAGGGGCGGAACTCGAGGATCTCTCGCTACCCGAAGGAAGGGAGCTGGTTGCCTGCTCCTGCAGCATCCTCCTCCTCCTCTTTCTCCTCGAAGAGAAGAGATCGACAGAGAAGAAGAAGAAGCAGAGCGTTGCCTCAGAGTACTTCTTATCACCTCTGCCGTTTGTCCAAGAGCGGGGACGAGAACGAGTTTACAAGATCACGTGGGATTCCGTGATCTAGAGATGGGCTGCTTGGCCGTCCGATCAGAACTCATCGGACGGTCGTAAGCGCGTGAGCGTGGACGACGGTGGAGCCATAAACCGACCGCGAGGATCCAAAGCCGCATTGTAGGCGAGCGTGGAGGCTTTTCTACCGTTCGATTAATGGATAAGTCGAGTGGCCGACGAATCCTAGGCGTTCGATCTGGTCTTTTCCTGGCTGTACATGTTACTGAGAGGTTTGATGTTCTAATTTGTTCGGGTTTTTCATATCCCTCCAAAAATATTGATAATTATATAATATTTACATCCTTCATATGTGTCTCTTTCCTTAGTATTTATCCCAATGAATTCAGTCAGCCACTATTAATACAGCAGTTCTCATTTTGGATAGAGCAGGAAAACCAGCTGGGAGAAGAGAGCCTTTCTTTGTATGAAGGTTGTGATGTAAAAGACAAGAAGGAAAGGATAGTAGTACACAGCTTAGCTAAAGCTTCTCATCTGAAGTGGCATGATTTGCTATAGGGTTTCTCTAACATCTACATCTCAGGATAGATATAAACTGACAAGCAAAACCCCCTGAGATCAACTGTGCATAGTTTGATCAAAGCTTTTTGTACTATTAACTGATTTCTCATGTTGGATGTCATTTTGTCAGAGCAGATGGATGATTAGCTCTGCATGTCTATGGACATTAGAAGTCTTATATTGGTTTTACCATAGACATACAGACTGGTTTTATGTTGTTGGTCTTTACCATTTGGGCTCATGACCACCACCAGGCTCTATTTTCTTTATTTGACAGGAGATAAGTTGATTCAAATGACTTCTACTGTATCAGTAGTCTCATGTATTCCTCTTGCAGAAGAAGGCTTAATGTAAGATGTGAAACACCAATTTATATTAATGGAGAAGCAGCATGATAGCTGCACTTCTCCTCCTCAAAAGAAATGATAGCAGCAGAGAAGTATTCTCTAATCACTTCTGTTTTAATAAGAAAATGCTGTAAGTGGGAAAGCTGCAGCACAATCTAAGCAACACACACCAGAAAGCAGGGAAAAGAGTCCTGCTAAATGTGGGAATAATGGAGGTGGAAATATGAATTATAGGTGCCATGAACTTTTGACCAGATCAATATAACAGGGGAAACCTTGATAAAGTTGGCTAAAAGCTAAAGAGAATCCAATGTGATTGACACACTCAATCAAGTCCTATGTGGAGACCATCTTCCACTCTAGTACTTTTAGCTACAAATGCATACATAACCTTGCCACAACATAGCAGAAAATTAGTAGGAAAGTTGACAACATTGTCACTGTCATTGGCTTTTGTTCTGATAGCAACTACTCATCTGGACTTGATGTGTGTTATGCAAAATGAGGGTAGGGATTTATTATTTTCTTTTCTTATCTTTCCTTTCCTTCAATGTATATTTATATCTTAATTCATCATTTGATGCATGCCTTATATTTTCACATGAAAACATCATGGTGCCACAAAATAATTCAATTGGAGAGAGAGATGGACAATTCACTTGGTGCTTTCCTTTGATGTGTGAAAAGGAGTCACCCATGAAAAGCTTCTGTTGATGTTTGATTCTTTTGGAGTGCAACAGCTGTTGAAACCTAAACTTGGAGCTTTTGTAGACATGTCAAAGGCCATGGCATTTCTCAAGACATTCCTTGGACCACTTGCGTTATGTGCTCGAGAACATACCCCACCATTTGGAGGATGACATACATATAATCTTCATTCATAACAAAGCAGAAAGAGACTTCACATTACCTATTGCAAAGATAGGAGGAAGAGGTGCAGGAGAAGGGTGAGGGACACAGGACTTCAAAGCAAATTGAAACTGAGAGAAGGAACACTCAACACAGAACTTAGGGTTCAAGAAGAAGACCAAAGGCAAAACTAGCAATAACTTGAGATCACTACCGTATCTGAAGCTCTCGTTCATCTCTTTCTGTTGTCTCTTCGCTGGTTCATCGTCTCCTTAGACTTCGGTGCCTGCCATGAACGGCCAAAGAGGTTTCCAGATGTTGATACTATCAGATTTCAGGATGGAAGCAAACAAAATGATGAGTCCAGCGGTGGATGGGTTACCGGAATCCCTGGGTGCATTGCATCGGAAGCACTCCATCCTGCTTGCGAAGTTGTGCTCGTTGCATCCCGACCTACAGAAATGCTTCAACGATGTTAGCTAAACATGGAGCCCAGAAGGGTTTGGTATCGGATGAAGCTAAAAGAACTGCACATATGTAAAGGTTAGATGAACGTTTGATGAAGAACATGCACAAGGAACAGAAGGGGCATGAGTGACACCTGTTGCAGATCCAGTCCCCGGACTTCCACCCGGCGCGCCCACCGCCGCCGCTGCCGCCGAAGCCGTACCCCCGCGACCGTGGCATGTCGCCGTCGAAACCACCGCCGCCGCCGCCGCCGACTGCTGAGTCCTCCTTCGAGGCACAGCACTTGAAGCAGCTCGAGCGGCTGGCGAAGTTATGGGCGCCGCAGGAGCAGTACCAGTCGCCAGGGCGGACGTCGGAGCCGCTGAAGCCAAACGAGGATCCACCGACGCGGCCGCCGCCGAAGCTGGCGTACTCGGAGCGGTCGCTGCTCGGCCTCGAGTCGCTGCATCGCTGGCACGAGTCCCGGCGGCTGAAGTTGAGGTGCTGGCAGGATCTGCAGGTCCAGTCTCCTGGCTTCCTGTTCATCTTGTCAAGTCCTAAAGATTCAAGATACATCCATCAGAGATTGAGAGAGAGAGAGAGAGAGAGAGAGTTACTTCCTGCTCATCTTGTCAAGTCCTAAAGATTCAAGATACAGCCATCAGAGAGAGAGAGAGAGAGATACTTCCTGTTCATTTTGTCGAGTCCTAAAGATTCAAGATACAAGAAGACAGAGACTGAGAGGGAGAGAGAGAGTGTGTGTGTTACTATGTCCTGCATCTTCAATGTATTAACAATCCTATACAAGAAGACAGAGATCAGTCTTAAGAGACTGCAAATACTGCTGGTCCATAGAAGGGAAGAGCCAAGAAGCAAAGGGTTCCTTCTTTGACACCAAAGAAAATTTAAGATAGCTAACAGTAGAGTGTGTGTGTGTGTGAGAGAGAGAGAGAGAGAGAGAGAGAGAGAGAGTGAGATTTATACTGCATGACCATGTACTAACAGTCCTATACAAGAAGACCAACATCAAATCCTATAACTCTTTCTAGTTCATGGAAGAGAAGAGACAAGAAGCAAAACTCTCTTGTTTGACACCACTGAAGCACCAACAATAGAGAGGAGTGGAGATGGAAGGCTTACCCTAAGTTGGGAGGAAGAGGAGAGGAGAGAAGTGGGATGTCAGATGAGACAGTGAGTGTTGATGTGAGGTTGGGGTGGCCTTTTATACTTGCATGTGGAGCTCAATAATTGAGAATCTAAATTGGGTGTTCTCACTTTTCTCTTTCTGTGGCCACTTCTTGAACACTGCAGTCACATTAAAAAAAAAAGAGAGAGGTAACCCTAAGAAACTAAAAAGAAAAAGAAGAAGAAGATAAAGAGTATGGATAAGGATGCTAAAAGACTGGTAAAATTATGAGGAATTTGAACATGGATTAATTCAGCAACATCTTTTGAGGTGGTGAAATGCATGTGGAACATTTCAGTTCCCTCCACCATGCCACTTCTTTTACATGATTCTCATCAAACATGTCTTTGTTAAAAGACATGACATCTTAAAACTACTGTGGCTTCCATAATGCTTGCAAACTGGCTTTAGTGTGACAATGGATGTTTTGTTTCCATTTCCTGATGCATTTTTTTTGGGTACTCTGCTGATGTTTAAGATTAATCTGAACAATGCAGCATCATATTATCCAGAAAATTACTCAGGCTAAACATTACTAACCTTGATTATTGTTTCTAAATATTCCTAAATGTACCCCAAAAAAAATCTAAATTTCTTTTCTAGTGTAACTCAGGCTAAAAATATTCATATTGAGGCTACAATGAGCTCTGCAGTCTATTATCATTTTCCTTTCCTTCAAACTGACCATCTAACCCTTAGCCAATATACAAGCACTACACTAAATGGCTAATCCACCAAAGAAAATAGAATGATGAAACAAATCCAATCCCAGTGGTCTGTTCTTAGAGCTTTCATCTGCCTTTGTCATCTCACTCCATAGAAATTTAAATTCTCCAACTGGATGAATTACATCTTATTAATCAAATATAATATCATGTAAGATATCATCACATTCATATGCATGTTTATCAATGTCAGTTTAGCTTAAATGTTGGGAATACAAAGACAGGGAGGGGAAAGAAAGATAAGGAGGATAAAAGACTTGAGTAGTTTTGGCTGGCTGTCTTTTTATTCATACTTGAGAGAGATTGGAGGAATTTTTGAAGAGGGAGAAAGCATCCTTTCCATTTTTTTCATGCACCAGTTATTGAATTGCTCAAGAAAGTAAAAGGGAAAAAAAAACTGGTGAATTTCTATAAAGAAAGCAGTCTTGGAGGATGGTCTTGACCATCTTTTTCCACTTGTTTCATGTCCCTCATCTTCTTCTGCCTCCCTTGATTGTTATGTTGCAAACCAAAGTCTCTTCTTTTCCTGATCCCCCCTGGTGTGGCTTATATGAGTGGCTTTGCTTTTGCTTTTGCTTCCCCCTACTTTCCCATGGTGTCAAGGGAAGAGGAGTTTCAAACCCATAGGATGATATACCCTCCCTTCTCTTGGGAGAAGTTAAAGGGCAGTGGTGAACTGTGAAAAGAAAGCACAGGAAAGTGCTTGTGGGCTGATTCGATTCTCCTAGGGAAATGCTTCCATGCAATGTGACCATGACCACAACCTGCTTTTTCTCTCTTTTGCAGCTTCATCTTCCCACTTTGCCTTTTTGAGGCAGGTGAATACTATAATGTCTTTTGGTGTTCTCCCCTAACTCAGTCTGGTGCACATATCTTTATCTTTGTTACAAGCATTAACACATGAAAAGGTGTAAATGTAGGTGTACTTTGAAATGAGCATGATTTAGCATGCATTCCAGATGAAAAGCAGTGAGAGTCTAACATTCATATGGAAACTGGGCCTCATCTAAACCTGCATAATTCATAGTCAACACATGTCTTGAGTTTGTGTAGTATGCCATCAGATCTGACAAGTTTCTTGAGCAAGCTATGATATTGGAGCTCAGTAACAGACAAAGAAAAAAAGGTTCTTTCTGAAATGTGGTTTGTTTATCTTAGATGAACCAAATCCACCTTACTGAGTTATAGTCCTAATTAAAGCAATTGAATTACTGAAGCAGGTATCATATTAAGAAAGAATTTTCTATACAAGATTTTACTGCTAACCCCATAGGTTTGGGGGTATGTAAAGAGAACTGCTTACATCCTGCAGTTGAAGGTTATGGAAGCATACATAGTGATAATTTCTCTTTCCTTAAACAAAATATTTCAGAATCTCAAGTGTATTGGGTATGTTCTTCAGAACCTAAGATGCAGATACCACCACCAGGTTGGTTCTGCCTTACTCAATTCTACTTAGTCCATCACAAGTAGGCATAATCCCGGTTTCAGAACCGAATCATAGAGGACCGATTCTGGTGCCAGTTTCTACGGTTCAACTTCCAGTTCGAACCACCTTTTTTTTTTTACTTTTAGTTTTTAATTAAAAATAATTAAAAATAGCAAACAATCATAAAAAAATTATTTCTAAGTTTTGATCATAATGTCATTTTGAAAAGTGGATGCATTTCAAGACAAGTCTAATGATATAAAATTGATAAAATTATAAACTTATCAATCTTTTATATGGCTGTTGGGGGGGGGGGGGGGCGGGGGGGTGCAAACTGGTCATTTGCCCCCTTCAGAACCCAACAGTCTATCAAACAATCAACCCTAATAGCCAGTTGGTCAAAGGGGCTTTGACCCTTTTTTTTTCTTGAAATATGGAACCGCCGGTTCCAATTCCCAAAAGACCATACCGGACCTAAACCGTAACCAGGGCTAATCAGAAGCACTGTAAACAGAGATGTGATTTTAAACCTCTAAGCCTAATCTGTGGGACCATTAACATAATTTTCAAGACTTTCTTATTCCATAAAACACAATCAAATGCTTGTATCATAAATGTCTAAGAGAGCATTCTTTGAAAGGCCTACTCTACCATGCCAAAGCTGTTTACTGTGAGCATGTTGACAAGGATGATACTTGTTCTAACATCAATATATATGAATTTATTTTATTCTCTGGTGTTTGTATAATGTTTGACAATAAAATTTTCTCTTGGGTGAATCGCATCTAAAGAATCATCTAGTCATACAATCTCTTCATGATCAGGGGAATCATCTAGTGAACAAGATTTTCTTCATTGTTGTCTGGTGGCAGTTCAAGCATCAATCAAGATAAAAGAAAAGGGTAACAAATATCCATTTGTTATGCTCAAAGAAAAATACATTTATTACCATCTTGTTATGAATTAGATAATTTTTTCTGCCTCCGTTATGTTCTCACTGAAAGAAGTATCTTAGACTTTGAAATATACATCAGCATTTGCATTTTTAGCTACTGCAATGTGCTTGGTTCCCCTGATCAAGAAGACACTATATGACTAGATGATTCTTTAGATGTCATTCACCCAAGAGAAAATCTTATTGTCAAACATTAGAAAACATCAGAGAATAAAATAAATTCATATATATTGATGTCAGAACAAGTATCATCCCTGTCAACACAGACGTAATAAAAAAATTCATTCCTAGAGTAGGATTTGCATAAGTTGGTACATGAGAACTGACCTAAAGTTTGATATCAATTGTTAGTTTAGTTGAAAAATGCCGCTTGATCATTGTACTTACATTATATTACTCTCTTTTCATGCCATGTACAAAATGGGAGCTAATTGGCAGTTGGTCTTATCAAAGGATCCTTGGTGTATTCTTGATCATTTTCTGAAGCAATTTATCATGATTGTGGAATAATAACAAATCACATACAAAGAAATTAACTTCCCTTGGCATTTCTAAAATAAACTCACTGATTGGCTTTGAAAAAGCTAAACAAAACTCAAGGAAACAAATGCCACCAAAGACTAATCTTAAATTAATCGATCAAGAAAGAAAAATGAACATTTATCTCAACAGCATCTCCAATCATGTAACAGGCAAGGCATCATAAACTATGAATTATCGCAAGACATTACCAATTTTACATAAACATTAATATACACTTCTCTCAATTAAAGAAAAAAACAATATCAGGATAGCAACCTCTCTTGATATACCTGAAAGGTAAAAGAGATTGTTGCAAAGTCAAGAAAGCCATCCATTTCTTTTATAATGCTGAACTTAAAATCTAGCATTGCATCATAAATGGGTAACAGTACATTAAGCTCAAGACGCTCGACATCTTTATGAATTGTAGTGATTTTATCCCATTTTGATTGCAGAATTTTTCATTTATAATAAAAAATGTTAAACAAGCAAATTAGATCAAAAAATAAATAAGTTTCAGAGATAAAAGACATTCTTTAACAGAGATGAATCTAATATTCAGAAATAATTCATATTTCTTTCATTGTTTCTAGCAGTTTATTCCAATAGATTAAAGCATGACAAGCTTAGATCTCTTTTAATTATGAAGAAAAATATGTAGGTTCTTCTCTGATAACTTCATTTATTACTATAATTGAAAGTTGTTAAAAATTGTCTCCTAGAAATGAGATTCAAATGGTTTGATAGTTAACTAGAAAAATATATTTATATAAATAGGGTGAAGAGAATGAACTTGTATCTTAATAGAGTTGATGATTTATGGGTAGACATCGTCACTATTAAGTATGGAATGGTTTCTCCTTGGAAAGACAATACCCAGAAGAATATTACTTAGAGCTAGAGTTTATTTCTCGCAGCTATGGCTTAGCTTGGCAGTGGGTTTACTCATTGGAAATGTCTCTGCCATTAGTATTACACATGATGGTTGTTTGATGTTCCTATTCATTCAAAGCCTACTTTGGTCAATATGGATATTGAACTAGATGATTACATGTTGTCTAATTTACCTTTGAATGGTCAACGGATTCAGGAAAAACTTGCTCACTTGTTTGGTTCTGTCTCTTCAGATATAGTTCACAAAGTGTACATATCTCACACTCCTTATGATGAACAAGTGATTTAAAAATCAGATCTTAAGGGGCAACCATCAACTCAGTTTGTATTCTTTTTAGTGTTTGGATGAGGTGAGCACGGATTGCATTAGATTAATAAAAGTAAAATTGTTTTCTTTGTGAAATGTATATACATTTATGCATCAAACATATCTATACATGAAGAAAAAAACTCATCCGATGTCTTCTCATCTCACTACTTAATTACGAGACC